GTAGAGTGCTCTGGTGTCACAGCTCACAGCAACCTCAAACTCTTGGGCTTAAGCGATTCTCTTGCCTCAGCCTCCCAAGTAGCTGGGACTACAGATAACTGCCACAATGCCTGGCATTTTTTGGTTGTAGTTGTCACTGTTGTTTGGTAGGCCAGGGCTGGATTTGAACCCACCAGCTCCGGTGTATGTGGCTGGCATCCTTAGCCACTGAGCTACAGGTGCCGATCTGCTAAGATGGTCTTGGGTTTATTATTTTGTATTGAATCTTTGGCAGATACATGTACAAATTGGGTTTGTTCTTAGTACTTAATCCATAAACTATATGTTATTAAACTTAAAGCAAATAGATTTTATGAATGAGAGACTTCACAGGTGAACTGTATTGACAGTCTCTTTCTTAAAGAATTTTTTACCAGGGTTTGACATAGTGTTTATTAGACAAAATCTGAGCAGTCTTTCCCTATTTAGGGATCTAAGAGGAAAGGAATTGGGGTCTAAAGAAAGATCAGATCCTGCACGAAAATGGTCAAATGACTAAAGTTTGTGTAATCACATTTAAGCTTCAAATATTTAGGAAACATACACACTGTGCCGGGAGTGTGCCACAAACTGAAATACAATGGTGACTAAGAGAAAGCTGGTTTCTGCCTTCATGCAGCTTATAAATCAAAAGCAAGAAATGCAATAAAAACCAATCTAACGATAAGATAAGAATAGGGTCCTACAAAGGCACAGAACAAAACTATTCAAGTTAACTGAGGAGGAGCTGGAAAGGAATCAGGAGACTTTCCCATAGGGGCTTAAATTGACACAACAGAAAAAGCAAGGAGAGGAAAAAAAAAAGGCAAGTAGAGGCCTCAAGCTAAAGCCTTGAGAAATGGCTAGTCCAGACCCAAATTCAAATTGTCCCGGACAGACTTATATTTAATGGGCCCCACATTAACAGCAGCTAACATGCATGACTGAGTTCTCAAGAACTCCCTGGGAGATGAAATAAAATGACCAAGTTCTGAGACATGACGGCAAATCAAAAAACCAGAGCAGGGTGAGTTTAAGATTCATTCAATACTTACAGGTAATCTTTAAGACAACATACATAATCACCTAAAAATGCAATGAAACAAAAATTACACTGCCAATTTAGTGGAAAGAGTGCCACCTACTGAAACTCCCTGAAATAATGTAGGTTGACCCATTTCAAAATAATATAGGTTGACCCATTGTATTGCCTTCTCAAAAACAATGGAACTAATTATTGGTTTATGAAAGTAATAAGATGTAAATTTAACAAATTAAAACAATGAACATACCATTATCCTACCAAATTATTATTTTTTGAGATTATGTAGCTCTGGGTAGAATGCCATGGCATCATAGCTCACAGCAACCTCAAACTCCTGGGCTCAAGAGATCTTCTTGCTTCAGCCTCCCAAGTAGCTGGGACTACAGGTGCCAGCCAGAATCCCCAGCTAGTTTTTCTATTTTTAGTAGAGATGGGGCCTTGCTCTTGCTCAGGCTGGTCTCAAACTCCTGACCTCAAGAAATCCACCTGCCTCAGTCTCCAAAAGTGCTAGAACCACATCCCACTCAAAAAAAAATTAAAGAAATATGAAACCTAGAATTCTACTACTGTTTATCATTCCTGGTATATGGTAGGAGTTCAAAAATGTTTGTAGAATGCATTCTAACATAGTATTATTAATAGGTTTTCTGCAAAATCCTGTAATCATCACCTTATTTAGAACCGAAGCATACAGGCTGGTATTTTTTTTTTTTTTTGAGAGAGAGTCACTTTGTCGTCCTTGGTAGAGTGCTATGATGTCACAGCTCACAGCAACCTCAAACTCCTGGGCTTAAGTGATTCTCTTGCCTCAGCCTCCCAAGCAGCTGGACTACAGGTACCCACTATAACGCCCAGCTATTTTTTTGGTTGTAGTTGTCATTGTTGTTTGGCAGGTCTGGGTTGGATTCAAACCTGCCAGCTCCAGTGTATGTGGGTGGCGCCCTAGCTGCTGAGCCACAGGCGCTGAGCCCAGGCACTGTTTTAATGACTTAACATCTATCAGTGAATTTTCATGACACCTTATAAAGTCAAAATCATTAGTTATTATCATTTTATGAATGAAAACGCACAGAGAAGTGAGGTAATTTAACCAAGGTCCTTCAAATGGGAAGATGGAGATTCACATCCAAAAGGTCTGCCTCAGAGCTCTGCTCATAGCTCCTTTGCAGCCTCCTGTTACTGACCAGAGGTTTAACTATGGAAATAAGGATAATGGCAGATGTCCATCTATAAGCCTACACTACAGTTCCGTGATGCAGACTCCAAGAACAGAATTGCAGTTAGGCTTCAGATTAGAACTGGGCTTGGAATTTTATGCCTGTCAATCTGAATCTGGCCTCAAATGGGGTCATACATGACCTCCGGATGATGGCCGCCTGTATCTATAGCTTAACATGCTTTTACACTTTGTCAATTGTTATAATTTAGTGCTCTAGAATACTAAAAGCAAGGCCTAACTTGGGGTCTAGAATGGGCAAAGGTGGAGTGAATGGATATGGGCATCTGAATGTATTGATACGTCTATGCACTGCAATGGCAAATGCCATCAACTAGATTAGCTGGAGCTCAGCCTCCACCCCTCCTCATGGTCCACCTTCTTACTTTCTTATCCAGCCTCATCTCCCATTTTCTATACCCACTTGATGTATCAGGTCAGACTCATATTCTTAGTGTTCTAACACGTCACCCTGGGTCTTTGGAAAATTATCTCTCCCACCAAGGTCTCTTCCCTCTTCTGCAAAAATCAACCTGTCCTTTGGAGAATAATTTCTTTCTTTTTTTTTTTTTTTTGCAGTTTTTTGGCCGGGGCTGGGTTTGAAACCGCCACCTCTGGCATATGGGGCTGGTGCCCTACTCCTTGAGCCACAGGTGCCTCCCTGGAGTATAACTTCTCAAAACGTTTTCCAGCAATAGAGATTCACAGTAATTACTTTTTCCTGTAGCACTCACTACCTGTACCATTCAGATTTGATAATTTCCCAGCTCACCAAATAGTTTTTTTTCAATGAAACTTAAGTTCCTCCCTGAAAGCAGGGACTTTCCATAGCTTTTTCTATCTCTAACGCTAAGCAATGTGATAGGAATTTATTAATTTAATATTACCAAGGAAGTCAATCAACCAATAAGTGTACAAGGTTAGTTAGTGGTGAGCGCTATGAAGAAAAAACGGGGAATAAGGAATAAAGAGTGAAGTCCATAAGTATTAATTAAAACGGGAAGGTCAGGGAAATCTCGTAGGGGGCGATTTGGGAGCTGCAGGCAGTCCACAGGCACCTCACCTGCTGCGTTCAAATGAATTAAATGTTTGCTTTACAAGTGATGCAGGAAAAAACTTAAGACTCAGCATCAAAACACGGGGTTCTTCTGGTCTGGCTCTAAGAAGCCTTGGTTTCCTTAGCGTTTTAACTTTCTTAATTATCTCCCCTAGAGGGCTGCAAGGACAAACCCTGCGATGAATGTTGTGCTTCAATACTGTAAATCTGCAGGGCCACGCGGATGCAATGTTCTTTTAGGTTCACCATTCAAATAATTTATCTGTGGAGTGACTATTTTGCCCGCTTCGGGGGCTCAGAATACAGACCGGCGTGAAAACCAATCTCCCCTTCGGTGACTGTCCGACCTGGTGTCCCGAGGGGACCCGTAGCACCCGGCAGCCAAGCCCTGACTTTCAGTCTCTCACTTCCCTCGCGCCCGGGCCGGCCGCCGCGGACAGCTCGGCGGGCCCGACTCAGAGGCCCGCGGCTGGCCGACCTGGCCGCCCGCGCCCCACTCACCAATGGGCTTGTCCAACCGCATGAGGCGCAGGTAGGGCTGCAGAGGGCGGGGCGCCCAGTCCACTACCGCGGCGGCCGACAGGCTGAGAGGGCGCCGGCGCGGCTCGGGCCATGCCGGGGGCTGCCAGTTCCCCGGGCAGGGCGCCCCTGCCGCGCGCGTCAGAGCCGGGGGGCGTCCCGGCGAGCCCCACAGCCACGCCTGCGCCACAGCCCGCAGGCCCCGCGCGCCCCGCGCGCTCCGCCAGCCCAGCATGGCGCCGGGAGGGCGTGCGCCGCTCCGCTGACGTCGTCCCCCGGCGTCGAGTCTCGGCGGGCATGCGCAGAGCCTGCCCGGAGGGCCTTGGCGTGGGCCGGACCTTTCCAATAGCGTCTTGGTCGGTTGCCCTGCGAGGGGGCGTACTCATGTAAAAGGAACTCCTATTGTCAAAATACAAAATTAGCGTAAATTTGAAGTTCGAAGTTGGCATTGTGAATCTGGAATTGGGCAACGCTTCATTCTATAAGCGTCATAGACAGAAAAAGGGCAGAAGAAAGCAGAAACAATGAACAAAAAGCGGATTAGTCATTTCAAAGTTACTTTCCTAGTAAGGTGGGGACGGGAAAACAACAATAGAGAGTTGGTTGCTTAACATCAGGTTACTTCAGGTTGAGGATTAAACAAGGAATTTCCTTAACATGCTTGCCACAGATTGAATGTGGCTTCTTTGGGAAATTGGCTGTCAGCTCTCCTAATTTCTCCCCGTAGGTTTAACCTGGTTACATGGACCTTTAGCGTGGGTGACTTCATTTTGCTTTTTAGTCTGGCTAGCGGGGCCTAGTGCAGGAATTTAGTCCAAAAACAATGATCTTTCATGATTTTCATTTAACGGTGTCGTTGGTTTCGTAATAAATGGAAAAGGATAGTTTTTATTCCTATGGAACAGTTGTACCTCAAAAAAGAAAGCTTTGACAAACCTACTGAACCCCAAAATAATAATTTGCATCCAGGTATTTTCTTATTCAAACTAAAAGGGCACCAACCATCCAAATCCAAAAATGTAAATTAAGGCTAGGCATACATGTAATCCAGCAGAGGTGGGCGATCTCTTGAGCTCCGGAGTTCTAGACCAGCCAGAGCAATAGCAAGACCCCTCTCTAAAAATAGTGGGGGCGTTGTGGCGGGTGCCTGTAGTCCCAGCTACTTGGTAGGCTGAGGCAAGAGGATTGCTTGAGCCCAAAAGTGTGAGGTTGCTGTGAGTTACAATGCCTGCCAGGGCACTATACCAAGGGCGACAAAGTGAGACTCTGTCTCAAAATAATGATAATAATAATGATGATGTAAATTAAAACTGCATCCAAGGTTAAGGGACATTCACTACGCAAGTGAAAACTGTAGATTTGACATGCATTCACAGGAGTCTGTATAATCAAGAGTCAGCCAGCATGTGTGATGCTAAGAGCCTGCAGCTACAGTGTCTTGCCAGCTCTCTTAACATAGGCAGTCCTGGCTCGGTGCCTGTGGCTC